CCTTCAGTAGCGGAATCTCAGTTCCTTCAGCAGACATGTCTATTCAGAAAAGTGACATAAAGTTTAATTGGGAGCTGAAGATTCTTCAAGACGCTCAAGAAAGTCAAACTAGACAAGCTGAAGCTGACACTGAAGTAGAAACAAAAAAACAAACAAAAAACAGATCTGATGGTCTGCAATATTTAAATTTAAATGTTTATTCTAATAATATGTATGTTTGAATTTTTGTATGATTCTCCAAAACTTCGAGACTTGATCTGAATAGAAATAAAACAAAAATAAATAAGAATAAAAATATAAAACATGTACGTACTCTTATCCTAAAAGAATAAGATAGACTGTAGATACATACTATTTATAGAATAAAATACCATCAGTGTGTGTGTGTGTTTCTTTCATCTGTGTTTGTGGAAAAACATCAGCAAAGCAAAATGGCTCAGGATGTTCATATCACACAATATTGTGACACAACTGGAGTGTGTTAGTGAAACACACTGATGATCATGAGTGGAAACAGTGAATCCAGTAACACATGAACACTGATCTGATGTGAGATCAGCAGAATCCTCCAGTGTTTCCGCTGGAGATTCACACGGACAGAATCAACGACTGAATCAGTTCACTGTCACATGACACTCAGCTTCTGTCCTGAGAGTTATAAAACACATAAACCTCAAAATAAACAACACATTTAACACTTATTTAAACATTAAATATAATTTACAGAATTGATCAATTGCTTGTTAATTTGCTTTTGACTGTAAAGCTGCTTTTAAAAACAGAAGCAGTTTTTTTAGGTTTTATTTTAGATTCAGCGCTTAGAAACTCGTTGTTTGGAGAAGCACAAGTTTGTTCTGATGTTTCAGCATTTCTAATAAACGATAAATGCTCAAATTGGCAAAATTTGATAACAGTGAAACTTTTAGCATGTGATGATTTAATTTAGGGTCATTGACATTGCTGGATAGTTTAAATATTTGTCAAATTGTTTCTATTTGTACAGCGCTTTTCACAATTTGTGCTTCGAAGCAGCTTTAGATTCAGTCTTGTAATCTTTGTAATATTATTAGTTGTTATGAAATATATACAATCAAACCAAATAAAACTAGTCTAAATTTGTGGAGAGATTTTCATGTGTGTTCTGGATAAAATGTTTGTTGCTTTACAGAAATATTTACTTGTTCTGTAAATACTAGGAAAATCTAGAAGAATGCTAATTTTACAAAAATATATGTATTTTAAAACATTTTGCACTGTTCATGTATTGTTAAATTCTCATCAGATAATAAAATGTGGGGAATAAATAAACTTTTTTGACTGCTATGTCAGCAGCAAAACTATCTTCAAGGTTATTTTCATACTGATGATGTTGACTTTCGATCTGTATAACCAGCGTTTGTTCTTTAATTCCATATAATCACATTTAAAAAGTATTCTTAATAATAATTACATTTGAGTCGCTTGACATATTCGATAGGGAGTGAAACAAAGACAGATGCCACACCGACGTGGCCTGTGAGTGAGAACACAACACTAGTGAGCCGAGGTCAGATCACCAGTGAAGTGTTTGAGTTCAGGACGCCAAAGGCCAAACACTGAATTAGACTTAAATATTTGTGTTCTGTGCCGATTTTTTGAGAGGATCTTGAATCTTTTGACAGAAGGAAACGCTCGACTCCACAGAAACCTCGATAAAGATGGCGGCCTTCCCTCAACTCCAGACTTGAGTGCAGCGGATACGTCTGGTCTCTGATCAGCTCAACACTCACAAACAGAGCGATGTGTGACTCTTACCTGACACAGGTGTGATGGACAGCAGGATGATCACAGTGGATGCTGCTCTTGGTGCCATCATTATCCGTCTGTCTGTCTGACAGGCCGCAGCTTTGAGATGCGTGCGTATGTGTGTGTGTTTGACTCAATGACACCGTGACTTCAGTGAAGCTCGAGATCTGCTCTCTGACAGGAAGTGGCTCCTCAAGCTCCACCTGTACGTACAGACACAACCCATCTACTGAACACTGATGACAAACACACACACTCACTCAAACACATGCACAAATACACACACTCACGGCCTACTCACTCAACCACACACACACACACACTCATGGCTACTCACTCTCCAAAAATATGAATGATTCGTTTTTACAATCGCTAGGACACTTTAGTCAATACTTCGATCACTTTTTCAAAACTCTTCACACAGTGAGCTCAACAACAGTATTTGGGTAAAACTGTGGATCATTTATTGTTTTGGGAATAAATGCATTCAATTACTACATTTTTTTCAAATTAAATGAATTATTTTCACATGCAGACACAAACACTATCAAAACTCTACATACCTACAGGCCAATTTGCACATTTACATACTCTTTTCAAAACTTTTAAACCAAAGTTCAAAGCCTAACCTAATAAAAAAAAAAAGAACACAGCAATTTACATTTCTCCAGTAATGCTGAATAATTCTGAAATATATTCTGAATCTAAAAAAAAAAAAGAAATACTATCAAAACCGCTAGATTTAGCTGAACAACTACACATTACATTACCTTCTCTACAAAACGCAAATCAGGGGGGAAAAATTACTGAAATGTAACATACTGCAGTGAGTTCTAAACAGAGGAGAGTGTAATTCTTTCTTTGTAATGAAATTTTACAAAAGAAAACATTATATAATGCTACCCGTTGATAGTGTTTTTAGGTCATTGTTCTATGAGTGACAAAGTGATGTTTGTTGGGTTATAACCTGTGCTAGTGTTTTGGAAGAATAGCTTGACTTGAGACATGTATAGTGCTTAGCTAGTTTTGGTGCATTTTGAAAGTGAAATTCACTGCTGTCCCAAGATGAAAGACGGTTGTGTATTGAGAAATTTGACTTAGAAATGTTTGTTGGGTTATAACCTGTGCTAGTGTTTTGGAAGAATAGCTTGACTTGAGACATGTATAGTGCTTAGCTAGTTTTGGTGCATTTTGAAAGTGAAATTCACTGCTGTGCCAAGATGAAAGACGGTTGTGTATTGAGAAATTTGACTTAGAAATTATATATAAAACTAATAGAATGAGAGAAGTCACACAGAATTAGATGAACAATTAAATCCAAAATCAGATCTTTATTTCACTGCACACACTGCAATATGACAACCAGATACTTATTAAAAATATACAACAGCATTAGAAAAATAATCACTCTGGGTAAATAACGTTGGACTGACATCTCTGTGATTTTATAGAGCTGGAAGGTGTCAGCTGTGTGTAAAAACACTGATCGATTATAAAATATGAGCAAAATGAGCCTAGATGCAAAACATCACGTGACGTGACATTCATATTTCCTGCTACAAAGATCAGAGGTTGGAGGTCAGAGCCAAATGAAACATCTATAACTAAGTGATACATGTGAATCTCACAAGACTTTCCTAAGATTTAAATCAAAATGTAGATGCATTTGTATTTGGTGAGAATCTGCAAACATTCAAATGAAAAAGCATGTGCAAACTGCAAAAATGTTTCTTAAGCATTTTACAAAATGCTTACAAAAAATGTAGTAACTAGATTTTCACATCATGTTCCATGAATGTTATGAAGAAATTAACGTGATTAATAGGTCACAAACACACACGTCACAGTGCTACAAGATTCAAACAGCATCAACCTGAGAAACATTCATCAATTCGAGTCTCTTCTGAAACGTTCCATCAGTGATTTTGATCCAGTTCATCAAGTTTTCTGTGTCACTTCCTGCAGACACACACACTTTGGTCACATGACATTCAGCATAGCATCTGCTTCTGACCGATAACAGCTGCACTCATAGCTGACACGTATACATATATGACATATAATACAAACCAATATATTCAGTATTATTTTGCTGGTGAAATAAATCTAAGAACACGATTGAATGTGTTTGTGAGAGCATTCCAATGTTTACAGATGTTTAACAACTGACTCTCATTTCAAATTCAGCAGAAACTTAATTTAAACTATTTCAGTGAATCAATTCTAAACTCTTGATTCAATAAATTGTTCACTTAGAAATGTCCAATCTGCCCACTCCAAAACAAAAAGAGGATTTTTTTATGTATTTTACTTCTTGCCTTAAATATTTTGTTGCCTACAGTGACTGTTTGCTTGAAATGCAGCTTCCTCTGAACAACCGGGTCATTTTGACCCATACATGACTTTTTTCCCCCTTAAAATGCTAGTTAAAGGGGTCATATGATGCACTTTCATGTTTTACTTTTTCTTTAGTCTGTTTTGTAGCTGTTTGTATATGTACACGATCTGCAAAGTTACAAAGCTCAAAGTCTCCCACAAAAGGATTTTTTTCTATCTAAAAGAGAAGGCTTGATCGACACCTGCCGAAAACACCTTGATCGCATTCTCCCTCACATATCTACATAACTATCCCACACCACTGCCCAAATGGATACGCAAAGAAAGAAGGCATGGCTTCAGGTATTGCAGTAGTGTTGTTGTCACCATGTTGTGGAGTAAAGTAAAAAATATACTTATATAAAACTACTATATATAAAAGGGATTTTTTTTATGTATTTTACTTCTTGCCTTAAATATTTTGTTGCCTACAGTGACTGTTTGCTTGAAATGCAGCTTCCTCTGAACAACCGGGTCATTTTGACCCATACATTACTTTTTTCCCCCTTAAAATGCTAGTTAAAGGGGTCATATGATGCACTTTCATGTTTTACTTTTTCTTTAGTCTGTTTTGTAGCTGTTTGTATATGTACACGATCTGCAAAGTTACAAAGCTCAAAGTCTCCCACAAAAGGATTTTTTTCTATCTAAAAGAGAAGGCTTGATCGACACCTGCCGAAAACACCTTGATCGCATTCTCCCTCACATATCTACATAACTATCCCACACCACTGCCCAAATGGATACGCAAAGAAAGAAGGCATGGCTTCAGGTATTGCAGTAGTGTTGTTGTCACCATGTTGTGGAGTAAAGTAAAAAATATACTTATATAAAACTACTATATATAAAAAAATACTTTATTTGGCCTTCCGAAAGTGGACACAATTAGCAATCAGTGGTTAAGGTTTATTTACAAAACTGTTCCAATACAGTACAACCCAAGTGTTTGAGTGTGTGCAGCACATTTTACGGAGGACAGTTTCCTGAACCTGGGAGATTTACAAGGCCGGATGTGAAAAGGTTGTTTCTAAAATATATGGCAATTGCAACTTTGCTAGGACAGTCTGGTGCCATCAAAAATGACTGGCGCACAAAAATCACTCATAAATCTCTCATTATGCTACAGCTGCAATCAAAATTATTCAACGCACTTGACCTGCAAGACATTTTGCTGCAGAGAACAACATTTTATGAAAACATTTCAACAAAGGCATCAGTAAACTATTATAGAAAGTTTACACATTTGAGTGATTCTGAGAACATAAAGTTGATGAAAATCCAATGTTGTGCAAAATCTTTTATTCTTTGTAACCTCCAATAAACGCTGCCTGTTAGAATCTTCTGCCACTTCTCTACTGCAATCTTGGCCCATTCCTTGCTTGAAAAAGTTCCAAGATCACTGATAATCTTTGGTTTTCTTCAAATTCCACCAAATATTTTCAGTAAGATTTAAATCGGAAGACTGAACAGGCCACTCAAGAACATTCTATGACCGATCCCTGAAGCAAGTTTCAGTAGATTTGGATGTGTACTTTGGGATGGCTGGACTGCAAGAAAGTCGATTGATCATCAAGCTTCAGTCACTGCACCGAAGACATCACAATCTTTGCCAAAATGGCCAGTACTTCAAAGAATCCAAGTCCTTCATACAGTTAAGATTTCCACTTCCTGCAACACCAAAACATCCCCATAACAAGACTGGTCCACCGCCATGTTTGACCATGGAGATGGTGTTCTTCTGCTTATAAGCTTTTTGCATCAGACAAACCACTGATCCATGCATCCAAAAAGTTCCAGTTTGGCCACATCACTCCATAAAACATTGTTTCAGAACTCCACAGGTCTATCCAAATTAATTTTAGCACATTCAAGTCGGTCTTTTAAGTTCTTCTTGGTAAAGAGTGGCATATGGCGAGGTGTCCCGACATGAAGGCCATGTTTCTCTAGCGTTCTTATATTCTGCATTGAAATGTTTTTTCCTCCTTTCATCAGATCATCTTGCAAGTCTTTGGCTGTACATTGAGGGCTTTTCTCAGTTGCTCTGATCAAACATTTTATTCCCCTTGATGATATTGTGCTTTTTCTTCAACACCCTCAAAGGTTTTCTGTTACAACACATTTAAAATTTCTGAATTAAGCTGCCAACTGTGTCTCTAGGAACTTTTGGTGCCTTCTTGTAGCCATAGACCATCTAACTTTATAAAACAGTTTATTCTCTATAGCTTTTGTGAGAGCTTTTTTGACTTGGCCATATTTGCTACTCAACTTTAGCAAATATATAGGATAAATGTATGAATGTGTAACAGTTCAAGCTAATACAGTTTTGTTATAGTGTTTCCAAAGGCTTGATTTGTGTTTTAACACAATTTTCTACCATAACATACAAATATTAATAACCAGCGTTGAATAGGGGCTGAATAAATATGACAAAATATTTTTAAATTACAAAATAATTCTGTACCTCAAAAATATTACATGTTGACATTATCATCATTAATAGCCACTAAACTGTTATAGATGCATTAAAAAAAAAACTGGATCTTCAGAAAAGCTTACATTTGTAAATTACAAATGAATAATTTTGATTGCAACTGATTATTATTACAAAAGCTTGGATTTTTCCAATCAGCACAGGTTCTGCATTTCTTTTTGGGACTGATCTATCATAGACATCATTAATTTGAGTTTATGCATTTCAGCTTTTATTATCCATAAATAGTGTTTTTTTATTCAAAAACTGAATACTGCCAAAATTATCCACAAATAATGTTTTTGTTCAAAAACTGAATTAATCAGTTCTAAATAGAAACACAAAACATGTGCTAAATGAAAGTTGACAAAAAAGACTGAATCCAATATCTGGTGATAATAATGAGAATGATTTACAAGTGATTTCTAAAAAAATTGGTCATTTTTGATGAGAAAACTAAATTTTCAGCACAGCACAAGGATTAAATGATTTCAGAACAAATACACATGTAAGTTCAATGCCTTGTTCATGTTGACTGAATATAACTGAATCATATAACTGAAGCTCAATCGCGTCTGACAGACTCACCGGAATGTTTCCATTATGGAGTGGCTCTGTAATATTCCTCAGGTATCACGGTTTTTACTCCACCGAAGTAATCGAGCACCCAAACCTGTGTGATATTCATCTTGGCAAAGAACCAGTTGTGGTCGGTGGGCCAGTCGATCATCTCTGGATGTCTGCTGAACAGAGCGGCTTTAGCCAAATAGAAACACAAAACATGTGCTAAATGAAAGTTGACAAAAAAGACTGAATCCAATATCTGGTGATAATAATGAGAATGATTTACAAGTGATTTCTAAAAAAATTGGTCATTTCTGATGAGAAAACTAAATTTTCAGCACAGCACAAGGATTAAATGATTTCAGAACAAATACACATGTAAGTTCAATGCCTTGTTCATGTTGACTGAATATAACTGAATCATATAACTGAAGCTCAATCGCGTCTGACAGACTCACCGGAATGTTTCCATTATGGAGTGGCTCTGTAATATTCCTCAGGTATCACGGTTTTTACTCCACCGAAGTAATCGAGCACCCAAACCTGTGTGATATTCATCTTGGCAAAGAACCAGTTGTGGTCGGTGGGCCAGTCGATCATCTCTGGATGTCTGCTGAACAGAGCGGCTTTAGCCACTGACGCCTCGCTGCCGTTCACCTGCAAAACAGATTCACTGCTGACCGTCAAACAATCACTGATTCAGATTGGGCTCGACTGAAATGAGATGAAGAGGTGCGAGACCTCCACGACAGAGCCGGACAGGATGATGTGGGCGCACAGTGGACTCTGAGGATCGAAGCCATGATTCTTACAGTAGCTGGTCTGAGCCAGAGACACAGACAGAGATGCCTGCGGATTCACCTGTTACACACACACACACACACACAAATACAGAGCTCAACTTTCAGGGTTTTTGTTTAAACTTCAGCCACACAGTTCTGTTGAATGTTAGAGCTGATAAACTAAAAGCACTGTGTTGCATCCTATCAGTTCTGTGCTGAAGCACGCTGACGTCACACTTACATAAAACTGCATCAGCGTTACATATTCATGTGCTGTTTTAATTTGCATGGTGTGTGTCATATTACAGATCACAAGTCAAACTAACTTTAAACACAATTTACCACGATCTCATACAGTAATGCCAGTTTAAAGTTTTGCTTCCATATAACGTCTTCTTTCAGACTAGTGGAAAGAAAACATCCAAAAAACACATTTAAGTGTTTCCTTTATTGCACTTTATCTATTTGCATGTGTAGATTTCAATTGAAATCCATATATTTTAAAGAGTTTTTCTCTTACATACACCAAACTTTATAGTTTTATTCCTATCTATATTCTGAAGGCTTTTACTGAGAGGTTTGTTCATATATCATTCCCACTGATGTATACAACATTTTATTCCTAAAAACATGGTGCAAATGTATTTGTTTTCTGTCTGTTTACATATTTTCTGATTTATGGAGTGATAAAAAGAGAAATCCAAAATCCCCTCTGGAAAAAAACTAACTCTTAATATGTCAACAACTCTAATTATGTCAACACACTCATGTTAACGTTAACTCTGTCAACAAAATCCAACAAGAAATTTGAACCTGGTTTTATCCCATGTTTAAATTTACGTTCTGGAAATGCCTTCAAATTAGTATAGCAAAAAACATGGTAAATATTCGTTAGGGTTCTGTAACTCTATTACACAAGTGTCTGAGCTCGTGTCAGTCTCCATTGATCAGTATTGATTAGCACCTGCAGGTCCTGGACTGAAATCTCCATGTGTGTGAGGTACATGTAGGGTGTTCCGGTTCCGTTGCCCGCGGGCCCGTCGCTGATGGAGAAGGCGTTGGAGAACGGCTGTCCTCTGACCGGATCGTGAGTAGAGATCGTCGCCATTGAAGCCCAATCACACTTATTGACCACGAACCGAGCCATCCGAGCGACCTCCTCATGCGGCGGGACCGACAGCGGGACGCTGTGAGCGGCGACGAACGCGAGGCACACCGCGAAGAGCGTGCGATTCATGACTGACTTCTGCGAATGACCTGAAACTAATGAATCAAATGAGCCACTGATCACTGTAAACCAAGCACAAACGATTCATACGATCAATGTGAACTCTGAACACAAATGATTCATATGATCACAGAGTCATAACTCATGACTGACCGACCACAGCGAACTACCCGGACACTACTGAATCAAATTAGCACTGATCACTAATATCACCGACCACGAATCATTTGATCGCACGAGTCATGAGTGTCCTCCACAACAAATGGTCACATGATCAAAACAGCTGTCATGTGACTTCAACACAACACGTGGTTGCAGAAAAATCCAAACCACAAACAAGTTATTAAACCTGTGGAAGAAATCATGATTAAAGAATCATGAAGCAACTCTATTTGATTAAACTACATTTAACTTTCTATTCATATTTTAATAACTTTCTAAAACTACTCAATATTTAAAAATATGCACTGACATACATGTAAAGCTCTGCTAAAATGTGTAACTTATTATAATGTGTAACTTATTTTGACTTAATCTAACCAAACCCTCTGAAAATAAACCAATAAATAACAAATAGATAAATAAAATATATAACTTTATGTTGCCCTCATCAAATTCAAGATACTGAAATTAACAAATATAGTCATAAACATTACAAATATTAGTAATATAAACACGTTTGTAAGTAAATAGCTTTTTATAGTAAAGTAAATAGTAAATAGACTTCATTCCACAATTTTATTCAACTCTTAAATCTTAAAAACAAAAAAGTTTTGAAATGCACTCATAAGACTCACTCTAATTGAACATTTACAATATAATTAAAAATTCAAAGAGCTGATTAGCCACCAACTCATTTGCACAGGTGAATTTGAATTCAAACCAATTAAGCTCTAGTATAAAACACAATGCTCTTAGATAAGAATCAAAGAACTCCACTGCTTGTTCATTGGGTGTGTTTATCAGGTACGTTTAAGTTGTTCTGGTGTTTGTTTATTATCAAAGTCATTTTTTAAACTCTGAATTTAGTTACTTTATTGCATTTTAACTACCTAAAATTGTTTTGAATTTCTGTAACGTTAAGTAGGCCTACTTGGTGGTTTTCGGTTAGTTATGTGCAGATATACTGATCTGTCTGTTTGTTTGCTTGTCTAGGTTTATTTACTTTTTTATTTTATTTTTTTTAAACGGTTTTCTTCGTCATGTCTGGTAGCGGTAAGATCGTCGCTGCACCAAAGAGCAAGTCGTCTGTGTCGCGTTCGGCCCGCGCGGGCCTTCAGTTCCCGGTTGGCCGCATCGCGCGTCTCCTGCGGAAGGGAAACTACGCGGCGCGCATCGGCTCCGGGGCGTAGGTGTATCTAACAGCGGTTATCGAGTACCTGTGCGCGGAGGTGCTGGAGCTGGCGGGAAACGCAAGCGGCGACAACAAGAAGCTGCGCATCGCGCCGCGTCACATCCAGCTGGCGGTGCGCAACGACGAAGAGCTGAACACGCTGCTGGGCGGCGTCACGATCTCGGAGGGCGGCGTGCTGCCCAACATCCAGGCGCAGCTGCTGCCCAAGAAGACCAAAGGTCCGCGGGACCCGAACACCAACAAAGTCAAGTCACAGGACTTCTGATGCTGGGACCCCTTTTTATTTTATTTATTTTTTTTAAAGCACTTGACTGGATGGGTTTTTAATAAAAATATTTTCTTTAATGGTTTTGGTGGTTTTTAGGAACTAATTTACTGTTAATGTTTGACCTGCATCGGACCTTCTACCAGTGTGCGGCTCGTCGGGGGAGGCACAACCTCCCCATAATTAAGGTGAAAATGGGAGGAGGACGATTTAATGTTAATAAAAATCATTTTGGTTAATGTCGTTTTTTTTTTTTTTGGTAATTTCACAGTTGTAATACCGTAACGTGAAAGTTCCGCATTTCTATCGCGAATCTGCAGCTGTAATTACAACCGCTAGAGAGGGGGAGGCCGGGGGAGAGCTGAGCTCTCGTGCCTCCGTTGGTGTAAAAACTTTCAGCGCTGAGGAGTGTTGAGAAGGAACCCTCAACCAATCATCACAGAGACGTAACTTACGTGATATTAGGTTGAACGTCTGCCGCTGCGCTGATAATGTACCAAGTACTTCTGAGTAGCGATATTGAATATTTGATCGCCAACAGATTTACCAAGCTGTCATTCAAACAGTGTGTATATATACAAATTTAGGGAAAACAGTCTAAGCTGGATATAGGCTAACGTTACAGCAGTCGGCTTAATTAAATGGAACAGGCAGCTCTCTTTTAACACAGACTTTTAAGAAGGGATGGATGTTTGCTTCAAGTGATAGGCCAGGTAATTGAAATTATATTATCTTGCTTTATGTCGTTTTCTGACTAAAAGCAACCAAAAAGCCATTTTAAAGTGGTTAAGCAAATAATAATAATCGGCAGGGATCCCAGACCAATACAATTAGTGTGCCTCTATTTTAAAACCTATGCGCGGCCACTGCCTTCTACAGGCTTTCTGAAGTCCCACATGAAATCAAGGGTTACTCCACCCCAAAATGGAAGTTGTCTCTAATCACTTACCCCGTGTTCCAAAACTGTAAAAGCTTCGTTCATCTTTAGAACACAATTTTGGATGAAAACCGGGAGGCTTGTGACTATCCCATTGACTGCCAAGTAAATTACACTGTCAAGATCCAGAAAAATATGATCGACATCGCCAGAATAATCCATCTACCATCAGTGGTTCAACCGTAATGTTACGAAGCGACGAGAATACTTTTTGTATGCAAAGAAAACATAACTTTATTCAACAATTTGTCTCTCCGCATCACCATAGTGCCTTTTTTTGGGGGTTTTTTTTTGGGAGAATATCCACTGAACGCGAACTGTGTACGATATTCCGAGTCAGCCGCGACAAATGTTTTCTACATGTGTTTACGTTTTGATTTGAACGAAAACAGCGCATTAGTGCAGCGCGGCTGACACGGAGCGTACGCTGCTTGCGTCCAGCGGATATTCTTCAAAATGGCACTACGGTGATGTGGAGAGACAGAGGAGACGAATTGTTAAATGAAGTCGTTATTTTTGTTTTCTTCGCTACAAAAAGTATTCCCGTCGCTTCATAATGTTACGGTTGAACCACTGATTGCGGATGGACTATTCTGACCATGTCTTTCATACTTTTTTTGGACCTTGACCGTGTGTTCCGATGTTTCAAAATACCAGGAAGTATACTTCCAATTTTACAGTATGTTTAGACTAATGCAATTGGATAGCCTAGAGATAAAAAAAAATTACATTTGTAATTTAATGTGTGAACTTGAACATTGTAAAGTATTAACTTTTAACCATTTAAGTCAGTCAAGAACAATTTGTAAAGTATGTTCCCTGAATTTTATTGAAATGTGTTATGTTCACGTGTTGGATTGATATATATATATATATATATATAGTTCAGTATAATTTAAATGCTTTCAAAAATATTTAAGTATATTTTCAGAAATACACAAAAGAAATCCACTGGTAGAGATTTAAGCAAATATATTTTTGGCCATTTTTGTATTTTGAAATGTATTTAAAAAGAAATGTATATTTCGCTGTTTAGATATAGTATTCAGGCTCTTTGATTCTAATGTTCCAACAGTCAAACTCAACTAGTCAACTCCACACTGATAATGAGCAGTACTAACCCGTTAGCTCAACCACTTGACAACTTTCACAACTGTTCTTCATCACAAATACCTTCATGCAGAAATGTTATTGTTTTGGCCAGTTCTGACAGTTTATTCATCATGCACTTGTCTGAAATAATTTCATCATCAATTAGAAATATGGTTTTCTGTGTTGTTGGTTTATTGATTTATTTGTAGGTCCTTAAAACAGGTTTAAGCCTAGTTCACACTACATGACTTTAAATGTCGGCAGATCGCTGTGCTGTTCAGACTACATGACTTGCTGTCTGTCTCGAAGTTGTTGTGGTGTTCACACTACACAACACTATGTAAATGATCCGCAACAGGGGTCACACACTACATGAGCTGACAACAACTCTGTCACCCAACGACTCTACACCAAAGCCACTAGAAGGCGTAACCTTAAAAAAAAGTGTAACGGCTAATGCTAACGCTTCCGGTTTGCCAGTATGTGGGAAAGGAGACCAGAGGCCATTTTTTTTAATGAATGTAAATGGAGCAGAGGCTTCACTACACTGAATAAATAGCTTTTTAGAGGAAACAGCTTATCATTTAATGAATCGACAGCCTACTGGCTAATCTCCAACGTGTTTTACACTAAACAATACTTTTGGATTGAACTATTTTTAGTTTACACCAAAAAAAATTGCTGTTTTATAAGAGAAGTCACTGACTTTTTGCGACAGGTGGGATTCAGCTTACGGCATTTCTCATTCATTCCAATGGTATCCGTAAACGGCTATTGAGTGTCACACAACTCTGACTGAAATTCAATGACGTCAGGGCTATAATGTGATTGGTTCTTAAGTTTACACACGTGATCCAAGTTGACCGTTACGCTTTCTCCAATAGTAAGTAATACAGACCTTCTCATCTCCCTATAGTAAGTAAATCTCTGAAAATCTCGGCCCCCAAACCACGTTTTCTCATGAAAACAAACGCGAGAAGTGGAATGGGAATGATGCGTGCATGGGAATGATGCTGTTCTGAAAAATTTTGTTCCAATTCTTGTCTCCAAACTTTTCTTAAAGCCAATAAGCCATGTTGCTGCTGCTGTTTTTCTTCTGCTGACCTCAACCCATGCCTTGCTCTCTCATTGGCTGTTGCTCGTCAAGACACCTGACACCACGTGATGTCGAGTCGGCCGACTGGTCCAGATATTTAGCATGCTAGATATTAGTTTGGTGTCGGCGACATGTCAGCGAGCTTCTTTGATGCGTCGTTGAGTTGTTCACACAAAGATTGCCAACACTATTGCCAACTCTTGCGAGACATATAACCAACCGCAGCTTCAAAAACAAGCCCAATATTTTTTTGATGATTTATTATCATCAGTATTATTTATTATCAATTATTTATTACCATTAAATAAGCCTGCAACCTATTAAACTGAAACCACTCTTTTATTTGAAAAGCAAAAACGGAAGCTATTTGACAAAAATCAGCAAACTGCAACAAAATGGGAACAAAACTCATCTCCAAACACCTGTGAGCAGAATAGGATTGGACAGATGGAAAAGGAGAAAAACACAAGAGCTTCAAAGGGGAGCTATAACAT